CTCAGGTGGAGGTGGGGATCAAACCGCAGTATCCTGTGCCTGACTGGATTTACATGAGCAGGCAGGCGGTTAAACAACTGAGCTAACTGGCAGGCCCCCAACACCAACACTTCCATTTACAATGTGACTGTTCATGAACAAAACATCCTGTAAGATTTTGCTTCCCTTCCCAAACTCCACAGTGGGTGACAAACACCATAGCTACCTTCCCCACTGCCCTGGTTACTTTTCTCTCACTGTTGAAGCAAAATACTGACACCCCAAATTAGGAAGGAAAGGTTCACTTAGCTCACAGTTTCTAGAGGTCTCAATCCGTAACCAGCTGGCACCCAGGCAAGGTGGCATGGCACAGGGTAACAGGTGAAGGTGGCAGGAGTCAGCAAAAGCAAGACGGGGGGGAATAAGCCTCTCTCCCTTATACTGAAAGCAGGCTATGGGGGTGGGGGTAGGGGTAGCACTCAGGCCATCTTGCCATCTCCTCTTGGACAGGATGAGGATGTACATGAAGTAAGGACCTGGCTCCCTGCTGGGTTATTTACTTCAACCTCTAAATTTCTCAAGTTCATACAATGAATCAAACATTACACCTACACAACCACAAATTCAGCCATCTTTCCCCAAAACCTAAAATATATTCATAAATGAGGTATTACTATATTGTTTAACATTAGCAAAGCAAAGGAAAATATTCCATTTTTTATAAAAATAAGATGTATATTCCATAGAGTATTCTTAATCTGTTTTCCACAATAACGCAACAGCAATCACAGCCAAATTCAATACATAAAACCATCATATGACTTGTCATTTAACAAAAGAGAGGGACATGCCAGTAACAAAAAAGTAGTATCAGACTCCAAAGCTACACAGGAAGAGAAAAGCTAGAGTCTGGTGGTTCTGGTTTGATTATGGTTAGATGTAATTTCTTGAAAATCTGTGTCAATATGAGAGATGGTGACACCTTAAGAGATACAACCTAATGGCAAGTCACAAGTCTTGCAGGCACACGGCCCTTGGATGGAAATGAAGTAGTTGTTTTGGTAAACTGGTTGGTTTTCATGCAGGGGTTGTCCCAGAAAGTTGGTTCCCGCTTATCGCCTGGATTCCAGTCTGTCAACTTTATTTCTCCTTCACTCAAGCTCCCAGCATCAAGATGCCATCAGCCACCTTGACCAGAATCAGTCAGAAGCCAGAGCTATGACTTTGAACCTCTAGAACTATGACCCAAATCAACCTAATTGCTTCATAAAGTTAGAAAGCCTCAAGTATTTTATTATAGTAAAAAAAAAAACAATCCAAAACTTATAAAGGCTGTATTTTCTTTATACAAAGCAAATAAATTATTTTAAAAGTTGTGGAAAACATCAAGTTTCAAATTTTTCTGATCATTAGATATAAAAATCTAATTGAGGCTGTCAGTGCAGACAGTACCAGTAGCACTTCCATAGACAATTAGTGGCCGAGTTCTCTTCCTTACATACTCTCCTTATACACAGAAGCTTTAACTAGTCAAAAAATCAACCTGTCTTCTTCACACTAATTTTCACTTTACTATATCCCTTCAAAATACTAAAATAGCCATTTTTTAACTCCTATCTCTCAGGATTACTGCAAACCTTTGACAGAACAGTGGCTACTGGATTTATTTTGTGGATGATAAACATCTTTTATTCAGTCTCAGATCTAGTTCCAGGTCCAGGAGGCTTCATTATCTGCAGATTTCAAAAGTAAGTGAAAACTTACTGAATGGCACTGAGGGACATGGCAAGTAACAGCTCTTACCAGTCAGCTACTTTGAGAGATGCTGCTTTAAGAGTTTCAGGAATATAAAAGAAACAAGAGTCAGCTAAACAAAAGCAATAACACAACAGTCTTGCCTTTTTAAACTTTCTTAGGGGTTTAGTTCTGCTCTCCAAGAACTACTGCAAAAAGAAAGATGTATTATATACATGTACTAACTTCCCATGATGAAACGTGTCACTCTCTACTGCAAACATATATTAATAAAAACAAACATCTGAACAAAAAGAGCTAAATTATCATTTTTATTTGAAATGAATACTTCAATAGTGATTCATCTCTGACAGTTTAATTACCAGACCTGCAAAAACCAACTATCCTAGACTATGCTAGGATATATAATCCATAAGAAGTGATACAGAAAATCAGAATACTAACATGAGAACTCAAGAGTAAACAGTCTCTAGCTGAACAACAGTACTATTCACAATTTCATTAAGAACTTACAAACAAATTGCTTTGAAAAATAAGAATAAATGATGCATAAGCAAACTGAAAACACAAGTGATTAAATTCAAACTCTGCTTATGCATAAAGAACAAGTGCAGATAGTGCAAAAACAAAACAATATCAAGGATACAATCATGAATACACTTCATTTGATACCTTTATACCTCATTTTAAATCATTCTTGAATTTCATTTTAGATTTCAACATGAAGTACCTTGTTTCTAGATTCTATTGTTTCACTGTTTTAAAACAAGCTTTCCCTTTATTAATAATTTTCTAAAATTTATTTGTAAGCTTCAGGGTTAGCTTGCCAAGTTTAGTATTTAAACTCTCATTAAAATTTTAAGTGACAGGGCCAGCCAGATAGCTCAGTGGACTAAAGCGCCTTCTTAGACAGAGCACAGCAACCAAGATTTGATCCCTGGCATGCCATGGCAGCCCTGCCCCTGGGGTGCAGAGATGCTGACTGAGACTGGACGTGGTAGCACACGCCTATAATACCAGCACTTGGGAGGTTGTAAAGAGGAGAATCACTACAAGTCTGATCTATGCATTGAGACTCTCTAGACCATGTACTAAAACACAAAACAAAAAATAAAAAATAAAATTTTAAGTGAGATTATATTAAATTCATAAATTATGTTAAATTAAAAGTTCAAATGTTAGAGAGAACGGTTATTACAACTCTGAATCTTCTGATCAAATTCATGTTTCTCTATGCATGTGCATATTTCATTTCCTCCAGTAAAACAGCAAGGATTTCTCTCTGGACCCACTGATTATATTTTCAATGTACTTTTCCTCATTTTCTTTGTGTTACTTAGGTATCCTCCTGAACTGTATATTTTTTATTTCAGCGACCTCATTGAATTCATCATTCCTAACAGCTTTTAGAAAATTTTCATGGGTTTTGTATTTGTTATTTGCAAACAATGATCATTTTATATGAAACTTTTCGATGTTTTAGTCAAATTATTTTGTCTCCATAATAGTATGTCATTATATTGACGACAGGTATGTTCTTTTATTGGTGTCACTGAAAAGATTGATACCACTGTTTTTTCCAAGAGTATGTTGTATAGCACAATCTATTAAAATATGTATTTTTTATCAAGTTAATGTTTATCCAGTTCATGAACCTAAGCATTTCATTAGTTATTTGCTCACATTTATAGTCCCCATTAAGATGACTATGCTTCTATAAACAGTGAAGATTTATTTACTTAACACTTATCTGGTGTTTACTTTATGCCAAACATTAATCTTTATTATTTACATATATTACCTTGTGTAATCTTTAAAGCCACTTTGTAAGGTAGATTCTGTTATCACTTTCATTTCAAAAACACAGGAACTAAAGCACAAAGGTACATATAAATCCAGAATACGGGTAGATTTATTAATTTCTTACCCTCAAAAGAAAGTAATAATTCATTCTTCAATCATTACTCATGAACACTGCTTATGTGCACTTTCTTTAGGAATTCTGCATGTGCTTTCATAGTGAGATGTCTCTAATAAATCCCTTTTTTATGCTACTATTTAGCTCTCAACAAGAATGGTGTTTTCATTATAGAATTAATTAGCAGGTTGTCATCTCCAAGATATTCCCTCTCAATCTCATCTTTTGGTCTTCAAAACTTATACACTTCTCTCCCATATTTTGCTCAGGCTGACTTGCTAGTAGATACATCAACAGATCAGGGCGGAAGTGATATATATCAATGTATAAGACAGATAAAAGCTCTCTAAAATATAATTTTTATAAAGTTTAAAGCATAAATTAAACTAGAAAAATTTTCTTCATGAAATGTATTTTAAGTCATTTTTCCATAATTAAAGGATCATTCAAAAACTGTTATTGCTATACACTTACCCAAGAGTTAAATTATACGTAAGTTGAAAAAAAATATAATACCTTCAGATTATATTTTTGAGCCTTATCCAAAATAGTTGGTACCAAGTTATCAGTAGCTTCTCCATTCTCATCACTTGAATCAGGTGGGTACCAAGATAGCGCAAGTACACCTAAGTGGAAAAATCAAACAGCAAAGAAAAAAAGAGACCAGAAGAAGAATGACTACCAGTATTCTAAAAAAGGTACAGAAGTACCAAATCATTAACAATAAAAAAGAAACATATACATTCAAAAGTTTGTCTTATTACATTCCATCAGACTGTGTAAGGTTAACTACTTACTTTGTTTAGCCGATATATATGAACACTTTATCAGGAATCAATTGTTTTTGAAGTTATTTATTTGGTACAGGGTCTCACTATATAGCTCAGACTCACAGTTATCCTCCTGTCTCAGCCTCCCCAGCACTGGGATTACAGGTGTACACCACCAAGACTGATTTCGGAGGCCAGCACCCAGGTTTCTGGGGCTGGCACAGGATGAGGTAACAGGGATGGAACTCAGGTCCTTAAGCTTGCCAGGCAGGTGCTTAGGCCTCTGAGCTATCTCCCCAGCCCAGCAATCCTTTTCTGAAATAGACTTTATTTTCAGAATAAGTTTTAGGGTTACACAAGAGAAACAAAACAATACCCCTGCCAGTCCCCAACATTCTTAATTTCCCCTATTACCATCTTTGATCTAACATCTTGTATTATTCTTTTTATAAATAACAAAAATGAACTAATACCATTTATTAGTAACTACACATCATAGTTTAAATAGGGTTTACCATTTGTATTGTAGAGTTCTGTGTATTTTGACAAATGTATGCCATATGCTCAACATTAAATTATAGATTAGTTTTACTATCAACTTCTGTGTTCCATCAACTTATTTTTCCTCCCTTTTCTCTCAACTCTGGCAATAACTTTTTATGGCTTTTATAATTTTGCCTTTTCCATAACATTACAACATTGGAATCATAATACATATAGATTTCCTTATTGGTGTCATTCACTTAGCAATTTGCCTTTCAGGTTCATTCATTTATTTTTATTGCTGCATAATATTCATTATCTTCTTACCAACCGACGAATATCTTGACTACTTCCAATTTTTCACAATTATGAGTAAAGCTTCAATAAACATTCATGTGCTAGTTTTTGTGTTGTCCCTATCTTTTAACAGAATATTTATAAGAATTAAAATATAGTTTCCTCTTGCAGCATTTACTATTAAGTGAAAAATTACGAGATAAGAAACATCAGTATCCACAAAAATCATTAAATGGAGAGGAGATATTTAGGAGCAACTAATTCAAAACTTTACATAGAGAGAAATGGGGTGCAATTACAAAGATAGCATTAACTTATAAATCAATTAACAGACTTAAACACACAGAGAGAAACAATGGTACTAAAAAGAGATAAGGAAAAATCAAGATGTATTAGGAAGTTTAGAACCTGCCAGAGACTTGAATTTTAAGACTTCAATTTTGTGAAAGTTGCACTAAATATATTCTGACAGGAGCAATACTGAGCCTCAGTGAGTCTCAGGAACTTTAGTGAGCTGCTACAGGAACAGACAATGATTACTGAAGTTAACAGAAAAGAACATGACTGTTTTCTATTCATACTGACACTAAAAACGGTAAGAAGCAGAAATATTAAAAAAAAAAAAAATTAGGCTACAGGGAACAAAGGGAAGCTCTGGCTGGCAATGAAGGATGCCACAGTACAAAAGAAGCTGATGAGTAGGTTCAGTAGAAAACTGCCCAAGCCTAGCCTCCTGTAAGTTGGAACTTGAGGAGCCCACTAACCCAGCCTGTAATACCAGCAATGAAGAGTGACACGAAAATTTTAGCAATATGTGGCCAAGTGGTCTAGGCAAGCCAAAGCTAGGGCTTCTGGTACATTCTCTACCATATAAGAAATTTAATGTTTCTTTCAAGTATCTCCAGTATAAGTCAAACTAATAATAATAGTAATAATAATAAGTCAAACTAACGGTTTAACAAAAAGGTAAGCACATTTCTAAACATAAACCTATAGTCACTGTATCACTCAAGTAATAACGCTTTCAACAACAACAACAAAAATCAAAAGTAATAAAACAAAAAGCCAAATAACAAACACAATTCAATAAAACTAGATTTACATATGAAATAGGCTTTAGAATCATCAGAGAGAGAATTTAAAGTTATAATTATAGAAAAGATAGTCACCATACAAGATACAGCGAGGAATCACAGAGAGATAAAATCTGTAAGAATGCTACAGAAATGTAACAAATAAGAATCTCATTAAGAAACAAATAGTATTTTCTATGAACTCATCAAAAGATTCAACAAAACTGAAAGAAGGATCAGGGTACTTCTTAACTCAAATCGAATTACCATAACTGAAACAAAAAGAAAAGAAAGATAAGGGCAAAAAAACAAAACAATATATTGAACAGTCATGGGATAGATATCCAAGTTCCTGCAAACATATTAATTGTAAACCTAGAAAAGGTCAAAAGTATATCTGAACAATAATCACTAAGAATTCTGAACAACCAACAATAAACATAAAACAACAAACCCAGGAACATGTCAGAAGGATAGTTAAAAATAACAGGCCAGGCATGGCAGCACTCAGGAGGCTGAGGCAGGAAGATAATTTGGAGTTCAAGACTGTGTCTCAGAAAGATAATAATAAGAATAGCAGCATAGGATTTTCAAACTGGTGAAAAAAAATGAAAAAAGTTAATATAGCCTAACAAAGGAGGCAAATGTTGGGCCAGCCAAATAGCTCAGCAGATTAAACAGCCTGCAAGCAGGTGCAGGGGATGGGGGTTCAATCCCAGGGCCTGCCTGTAATCCCAGCACTTGGAAGGCTGTAAACAGGAGAATCACTACAAGTTCAAGCTAATAGTGAGACCCTGAACATCCTGTAGACCCTTCCCTAAAAGACAAATGTTACAGTAAATTGAGACTATAAAAAGGTTAAAGTTATAGCAGACTTCTAATTAAGAAAACAGTAAAAAACAGAAAACAAAATAGGGTTATATTTCTACTGTTCCAAAGCAAAAAATAAATAAATAAATAAATAGACGAACTCTTAAAAACTCTGTTGAGAATGACAAAGCAGATGAAGTATAATTCAAATTATAGGACAAAAATAAAACTAACAGATTTCACTACAAGTTGAACAGTAATTCGAGAAATGTTAAAGGAAATTTCTGATATGATAACAGATATACATCTGGATCTACCTTTAAAGAAATGTGGCATACTAGAAATAAAATAAATGAACACTTTTTAAAAAGTTTAGTCTTAAATATAATAAAATATGTACAGAACCTGTATGGTGAAAAATTTTCCCCCAAAACTCAAGAAAACATAGGCAGGGAGGCTACAGCAGCTCTTCATTTTCCTGTGGCTGCATGAAGCAGAGCAGCCCAGGCTCAGAAGCTCAAGTCTTGAGAAATAATACCTGCTCCACCCTCCATCTCACTACACTGGCCCTAGGAAACAGCAGGAAAGTACATTTAAGGCAGCTGCTGCAGGCCCATACTTCTATCAGTAACTGGCAGGCACTTGTGCATCTGGTTCCCATGTGGGCCAGGGCAGGCTCAGCCATTTACACACACACAGAAATAGACTTGATATGTTAATATGTCATAATTAATAAAATTATTAATGAAATGTTTAAAAATGAATTCCTGAAGCTAAAGACAGATCTTGTGAAGTAACAAGTTAAAAGTTAAAAAAAAATTTAAAAGAACAAAGAAAGCTTTATGATCATTAGCAGTGTTCCAAAAGTAGAAAATTAGAAAAAAAAAAAAAAAAAGGCACAGAAAATCTACTTAACAAAATAAATGCTTGAATTCTTGATAAAGATATGGAGATTCAGACCCAGGAAGCTCAAAGGACCTCTAGGAGATTAAAAGAAAAAAATATGCTCCCAGGCATAACACAGTCAAAACTCTTCGAAAGTAAAAAGAACAGAGAGAACTCTACAAAGTGCATGAGTAAATCTAGAATCTCATTAAGAAACAAATCGTATTTTCTTCTACAATGGAATTACCATCAAAGAATAGACTTTTCAACAGAAACACTGCCCAAGAGTGAATATGATGATGCATTCAAAGTCTTAAAGAAAATAAATTGCCAGACAATGCTACTCCCAGTAAACTTATGATTCAGAAGTAAAAATTAAAAACTTTCCAAGGCAAGGAAAAATGAGAATATATCACTGCTTGATTGGTTCTACAAGGAATGCTTAAAGGATTCACACACTAGAAGTGGAAGAACTGTAATTATCATAAGAAAAACACAAAAGTACAAAATTCAACAGGAGACTGGACACAAAGAAGACAATCAAACTCAATACTGAAATTACAAAACTACAAAGGAAAATTACAAAGGATACAGGAATAGTCATAAAAAAATTAACAAAATTATAGGAGTATGTCTTTACTATTCACTGATAAAACCTTGAGTACATGTGGATTAAAGTTCCCAAATAAAAGAGACAGAAGACTAACCAAATAAATTAAAAAACATGCCTAACTATGAGTTTACTATATGAAATTCACTTTAACAATACACACAGTCTGAAAATAGATATACCACGCAAGTAGAAACTACACATTAGTAGAAATAGCTAGGTGTATTTTTACCAGAAAAAAGAATTTATTTTGTTTTGGGGATTTTTGGCAGAACGGGGAATTGAACTCAGGCCCTTGTGCTTGTCAGGGAAGCACTTATTCTACTGTGAGCCATCTCCACAGCCCCAGGGGGAAAAAAAAAATTTTGAATCAAAACTGTACAACAAACAAAATTCATTAAGTACTGATAAATGGATGAATTCAACAAGAGGAAATAACAGTTGAAATATACATGCACCAAAAACTGGGGTATTCTATTATATAAACATGAGATTTAAATAGATAGAATACAATTATAATAATAATAGCAGGGACTGCAACATTCACTTTGTCAAAGCACATACAATTCATACACAAAAACAAAATCGACATTTCTTGGTAAAGAATGCACCTTGAGACTATACTCTTAAGTGAAATAAATCGGACATACACGTAAATACTGCATTATTTCTCTATTGTGAGAAACTGAAAGTGTAAA